TGAGCAAACTTTCTTCTTGACCAATGCCTAAACATTTGCAATCAGATCAGCTGCAGACAAGAGCAGAGGAGAACGGAGGAGAAGGGATTGCGGCGTGGCCATACCCCCTGAGGGGTGATTTCTCCCTTTCTGTCTATCTGTCTCTCTGTCTGTCTGACGAGCGCATGCGCCCTATGCAAAAAAAAAAAAAAAACTCTCCAAAAAAAAGAAAAAGGGAAGAGCAGAGCTTTCAATGGAAATTTTAACAAGTGAGGTCAAGACTCTGAAGCATTTCTTCAAGGAACCCTGGCAGGAGATGACACATTTGCCAGTATGTCCCTGAAGACAGAGCACGGATGAAGATGCTGGAAGGTAGAAGTGAGCTGGTCCAAGCAAAAGTGAACTGGTCAAGAGCAAAGGTCATGAAAATAGTTCTTTGGGGGATGTTCAAGATGCCCTGTTAATAATTTGAAAAGATTGCATTGACAGGGTTAAATTTCCAAGAACTTCAGTTCTTAGGGAGGAATTAAGTGACTGGTGTCATCCCTTACAAAGATATCATGAACTTGATGGAGCTTATGTTGAGAAATGAAGTTTATATATTTTTTTATTTTTATCTTTTAATTTTTTCCATGAATCTTTTGAAGTTCCTTCATAGGGTAAGCAGTACCTGGCAACCCCAAAATAAGAGCCTTCTGTTTGGGCCTGCTAAGGTCGATTGAGGGGCCAGGGCCATGTGAGAGACACCTGTCCCAAATGCATACTATGGGTGACCAGCTATTTCCAAGAGAACATTCACTGCATGGTGTATGCAAGGGGGAAAAGATGAAAGAAGACATGTGCATCAGCACAAGTAGGAAGCCTTGAGATTATTGGGTCTTGTATTTATTTATAATGAAATCTGCTAAGATGTGAAAATGAGGCAGCAGACACCACCAGTTCCCATGAGGCATGACAGTGGGTACTTAGAAGGAATTTTAAAGGCTGAGAGTTATAGAAGGTGCTAAAGACATTTAAATGAGATTCAGGGGACACCCAGGGCTGGGGAGGCAGGGGACCATAAAAAGGCCTGTGACACAACCCTCACAGCAGAAAAGGAAACTTAATCCATGAATCTTTGATGTAAAGTGATGTTGGGAAGATAAAGGCTCTTCAGAAGGTGTGTATGATATGAGCACAAGTCTGGTGCCAGAAAACAGGAAATGCATGAATTAAGGTGATGGTGTGAAGACAAAAGTACTTATCTGAGCCTAAGGGGGAAGGGGACAGAGAGAGCACCCTGGACAGCCCAGTATAACAGAGGTCAGCATAGTTATCAACCTCAGGGTTAGAGCATTGACCTGAGCTGTCAATGAAGACAAGTCCATCTACATTGTTACATAGTGCCCATAGATGTGGGGGGTTGGTAAGAAAAACGCCTTTAGAACTACTGTAAACTGGGTTCTAAGTGAAAGGAGGGCAAGCAGACAGATCTTTCCTTTACGTATGTATCTCTGAGAGGATAAGAATAAAAGCCAAAGACTTTTTTCTCTTCTCAACAATCAACCCAAAAATTCTTCTGCAACCTCTGATCACCAAGAGGTAGGTGAGGATTTCTCCCTACCAATAGCCAATCAACCAATTCAGCAGCAAACACAAGCTGGGCCTCTTGTAGCTCAATTCAATTCCAATACAATCTACCTGGAGACAACATCAGATCCCATAAGACTGCCCCACCTACGAGCCCTAGCTGGTCTTACCTGAGCTTCAGACTCACCGTGACTCCCTCCTTAAGGTCCCATGACTTCCCCTTTATGTTCAGAGAGTTACAGAGCAGCACACGGAACTCAGGGAGGCAAGTCCAGTGGCTTATTACAAAGGATTCAGATGAAGAAATGTATACATCAGCGAGGTGTGTAGGAGAGGGTGGGGCTTCTGTGCCCTTCCCAGCCACGCCCATCAGGAACCTCCACTTGTTCAGCTCTCTGAACACTTTCCAAACCTTCTCATTTTTTTTTTAATGGAGAACTCATTCCAGAGGAATGATATGTTCCATTATTGGCCCTCATTAATCAATCTAACCTCAGCCCCTTCTGCCCTTCTTGAGACTGGAGATTAAAGTCCCACCCTCCAGCCCTGTCTGGTCTTTCTTTGACTGGTTTTATCTGCACTTCAGACTGATTGAAGTCCATTTCTCAACAAGAGCCCCATCAAGTTGAAGGTATCTTTGTAAAGGATGATACCAGCCCCATCTGGAAGCATTAGCATGTGAGAAGGCACTTGTCACTTTGAAAACTCCAAGAATTTCAGGAATTATAAACCAGGAAACCACAATAAAAGCTAAATACTTATTTCACAATATCACAACACCTTGGAAGAAATGTAAATGGAGCCACGTGTTCCAAATAGCATGTAGCACTTTCCAAATTCTGCCATCCCTTGGAGAACTGCAGATAAGGGTGTGTTGACACCACCTAACAAAACCCAAGGAAGTAAAAGAAGTAAAGAAGAAAAAATGTCATTAATTCCCAATAGTTGGAAGTCAGTGCAATGCAGGAGATTATCTATGGGAAAATAATGATGGATCATACCACATGTTTTAAACTATTCTCTATAATCATATACTATATTGATAGAGTTTAACTTTGTATTATTTCAAAGAATACTGAAGTGAATATATGTATGTGTGTGTCAATGTGTGCTTAGCCAGCATTGTTGGTATTATGTATATACATGCAACATGCAAACACATACATGAGTCAGAAAGATTCTGGAATTGTGGATTTAGGCATATTTATTGTCACAGAAACTGCCAAATTTTATGATATTTTTTTCTATTTATGTGAAGAATGTCATTTGTGTTTTAATAGGTATTATTTGAAATTGTAGATTGCTCTCAGTAGTATAGACATCCTAACAATCCTGACTTTTCCACTTCATGACCATGAGATGTCTCTTCATTTTTGGTGGGTCTTCAATTTCTTTCATCAGTGGTTTGAATCTTTCATTATAGAGATCTTTCAACTCCTTGATTAAATTTATTACTAAGTATTTTATTTTCTTTGTAGCTGTTATAAATTTAATTGCTTATTTATTTAATTATTACCTCTTTCTTTACTGGTATATGAGAATGCTACCTATTTTCATATGTTGATTTTGTATCCTGCAACTTTACTGACTTTATCAGTTCTAAAAGTTTTCAGTGGAATTCTTATAAGTTCATATCATCAGGTTAGCCCATGGCCTAGTGGCAAACACAGCTGGATTCTACATGGCCAACGACCTGAGAGTTGAGCAGTCCTTGAACCAGAGCTTTAGAACACCAGATGCATGTGTGTGTGTGCCCAAAACCCCCAAAGGAGGGAGAAATGGGCTGTGGAGAAAAGGGATTGTGACATGACCATTCCCCACAGAGAGTGCTTTCTCACTCCAGACCCTGCTCCTCCCATCTCTATCTGAAAAGCACATGCACTCCCTTGAAAATTTTTCTTAAAAAGAAATAATATTGCCTGAAAACAGGGATATTTAACTTTCTTGTTTTTTGTTCGGATACCCTTTCTTTTTTCTACAGTATTGCTCTGGCCAGGACTTTCAGCACTTTGTTAAATAACAATGGTGATAACAAACATCCTTGTCTTGAAATACTTCTTGAAATACTTCTTGAAATACTTCTTAAAGGAAAAGCTTTCAGCTTTTCCTTTACCACTCAGTATGATGATAGCCATGGGTGTGTCATAGATGGCCTTTATTGTGGTGAGGTTATTTCTTCTATATCCATTTTGTTGTGAATTTTTATTAAAAAAGGAATGCTGGGACCAGCAGTTAGCGTAATGGTTATGTCGCTGGACTCCCACGTAGTCGACCGCGGTTCGCGTCCCAGACCCGGTGGCTTAAACTCACGCCGGGCACGTGTGCGTGCGTGCCCAAGATCCCGATAGGAGAATGGAGGAGAAGGGATTGGGGCGTGGCCATCCCCCGGGGGGTGATTTCTCTCTTTCTATCTCTCTGTTTCTCTCTGTCTGTCTGGTGAGCGCATACGCCCTATAGCAAAAACCTCTCCAAAAAGAAAAAAAAAAAAAGGGATGCTATATTTTGCTGAGTACTTTTTCTATATCTATTGAGATGTGTTTGTGGGTGTTATCTTTACTTTTCTTGATGTCTCGAATCACATTTATGGTTTGCGTATGTTGAACCATCCTTGCATGTTTGGGATACTTGGTCACGGTGCTATTAGAGTTGATTTGCTAGTGTTTGGTTGAGTATTTTTGCATGCAGGTTTATTAAGTATACCAAATACAATTTTCTCTTTTTTATTGTGTCTTTATTTACTTCCAGAGTAATACTGGCTTCATAGATTTTGAGAGGGTTCCTTCCACTTCAATTTTTAAAAAAAAGAACATCCTGCACATTATCAAGCATTACATAGCTGCCTTGAAGACAACCATGTTAACAGCTGTTATGAGGAAACAGTGAACTACTTTATCGAGCCATATTTAAAAGATCTAATTCAATGTGAACTTACTCACATGTGTTTTCTCCCTTGCTCTAGGAGAAGGAAGAGTTGTCCCTGTTCATTCCAGTGAAGCTTAAGTGGCTTGTGTCACTTTAAAGTTTTATATCTGAAGTTTTGGATAGGTGAATGCCCATATAGATAAAATGCACATGAATAAAGTTAATGTCAATGATGATAAAGTCATGTTGGTTAAGTGTCCTGTAAATATCTACTATTTTCCCTTCACAAATAAAAGAAGGACAATTTCATTTGATGACAGAATTATTACATGGAAGATATTTACAAATGTGGAAAAAGCACAATGTTCATTGAGTGCACTAGCTAATTATACCATCTTGGACAAGTCAACCTCTGCCTACCCTAATCCCGTCTTCAAAGTAAGAGAACAAACTTTATAATGTTTGACTTCTTTGAGATTCAGCACCCTGTGATAGGTCTCTCAGGTATTTTAATGTATGAAATGCAAAGTACATTTCAAATGAAGGAAATAATTTTCCTAACTCCATCTTTTCTCTCTTTTTATTCCCAGACTATGTCAAAGAGGCACAATGACGTTGCACAGTAACAGTACAACCTCGCCTTTGTTTCTGAACATCAGCTCCTCCTGGATACACAGTCCCTCTGATGCAGGGCTCCCTCCAGGAACACTCACTCATTTTGGCAGCTCCAATGTTTCTCAAGCTGTGGGGAATTTCTCCTCTCCAAATGGTACCACCAGTGACCCTCTGGGAGGTCACACTGTTGGGCAGGTGGTCTTCATTGCTTTTTTAACAGGCTTCCTGGCCTTGGTGACCATCATTGGCAACATCCTAGTGATTGTGGCATTCAAGGTCAACAAACAGCTGAAGACAGTCAACAACTACTTCCTCCTGAGTCTTGCCTGTGCTGACCTGATTATTGGGGTAATTTCAATGAATCTGTTCACCACCTACATCATTATGAATCGATGGGCTCTTGGGAACTTGGCCTGTGACCTCTGGCTCTCTGTGGACTATGTGGCCAGCAATGCCTCTGTCATGAATCTTCTGGTCATCAGCTTCGACAGATACTTTTCCATCACAAGGCCACTCACATACCGAGCCAAACGAACAACCAAAAGAGCAGGTGTGATGATTGGTCTGGCTTGGGTCATCTCTTTTATTCTGTGGGCCCCTGCCATCTTGTTCTGGCAATACTTTGTTGGGAAAAGAACCGTGCCGCCTGGGGAGTGTTTCATCCAGTTCCTCAGTGAGCCCACCATTACCTTCGGCACAGCTATTGCTGCCTTTTACATGCCCGTCACCATTATGACTATTTTATATTGGAGGATCTATAAAGAAACTGAAAAGCGTACCAAAGAGCTTGCTGGGCTGCAAGCCTCTGGGACAGAAGCAGAAGCAGAAAACTTTGTCCACCCCACAGGCAGTTCACGAAGCTGCAGCAGCTATGAGCTTCAACAGCAAAGCATGACACATACCACCAGGAGGAAGTATGGCCGCTGCCACTTCTGGTTCACAACCAAGCGCTGGAAGCCCAAAGCTGAACAAATGGACCAAGACCATAGCAGCAGTGACAGCTGGAACAACAACGAAGCTGCTGCCTCTCTGGAAAACTCTGCCTCCTCTGATGAGGAGGACATTGGCTCTGAGACGAGAGCCATCTACTCCATTGTGCTCAAGCTCCCAGGCCACAGCACCATCCTCAACTCCACCAGATCACCCTCATCAGACAACTTGCAGGTAGCTGAGGAGGAGCTGAGGATGGAGGACTTGGAGAGGAAAGCCAACAAGCTGCAGGCCCAGAAGAGTATGGACGATGGGAGCAATTTCCAGAGAAGCTTTTCCAAGCTTCCCATCCAGTTAGGGTCAGCTGTGGACACAACCAAGACTTCTGATGTCAATTCATCAGTGGGTAAGACCACGGCCACTCTACCTCTGTCCTTCAAGGAAGCCACTCTGGCCAAGAGATTTGCTCTGAAGACCAGAAGTCAGATCACTAAGCGGAAGAGAATGTCTCTCATCAAGGAGAAGAAAGCCGCCCAGACCCTCAGTGCGATCCTGCTCGCCTTCATCATCACCTGGACACCCTACAATATCATGGTTCTGGTGAACACCTTCTGTGACAGCTGCATCCCTAAAACTTATTGGAATCTGGGCTATTGGCTGTGCTACATCAACAGCACCGTCAACCCCGTGTGCTATGCGCTGTGCAACAAGACTTTCAGAACCACCTTCAAGATGCTGCTGCTCTGCCAGTGTGACAAAAGGAAGCGGCGCAAACAGCAGTACCAGCAGAGACAGTCGGTCATCTTCCACAAGCGTGTGCCCGAGCAGCCCTCATAGAATGAGCAGTGACAAAACACACACAGTAACTAACCCACAGACTTTAGGAGGAGTAAGGTGAGGGTGGGGATGATTTCTGGAAATGCCTTTATGCCCAGATGTGAAATAAGCTGTTTACTAATCCATTGACTAAGGCGATTTTAATATAAAAAATCAAATACCAATTAAGCAAAAAAATAGCATGCTACTGAATATAAAGAAGTTTATTCTAAAAAACTTTGAGTGTTTTTGTTTTTGTTTTTTAAGAGGAAAGAAATATTGCTTCATAGCAATCGTACACCCAAATGGATTTGCCTGGGCCTTTGAATTCCCATCAATTCTGTGATCTCAATGAGCATGACTGGCCCAGTTGCCACATTCTTCTCAAGGGTCCCAGAAGTGTGGATCCAGACCCCACATGGATTCTAGCAGGTAGTGGGTCTGAGTTCTGAACTGCTGTGTATGTTGCAAGCTGGGTCTTCTCTCCCCAGTAGAGCTCCTATCTGCTCTTTGATGTGTTGTTACACTCTTTGTGGACTTGATTCTTACAAAGTACTGTTTTGTGCAGTTCAAGTTTCATACAAATAAAAATACATAAATACGTGTGTGTGTGTGTGTGTGTGTGTGTGAGTTCTGCACACACACACGTAGTGTATATAATTCAGTGGGGAACACTGAACCAGCAAATCACCCTTGCAATACATGCTTTCAACACTCTGGTAACTGAAGTTCTCTAGGATCCTATTACAACATAAGGTGAAATAAACCAAGATTAATGATTTTGAAACAGGCTGTTTTCCACCAACCGTCCTGACGACTGTTCCATGGCGAGCACCCAGGCCATCCCTGCAGGTCTGGGTAGAGCAGACAGCCTGGAGTCAGTGAGCAGCATGGCCTGACCAAACTCGGTGCACAACCTCTTGGTTGAAATATTTCTCAACAGAACTAAATCAGGGCTGTTTTTGAGCTCAAAGAATAAGCCACATTCACAAGTTTTAATTTACCTAAACCTGAGTATTTCAAAACAAAATTTCTGCTATCTGAGCTGCTTGAAAACTCAGAAATAGTGTCACATTTGAATGTCATACCTAGCTATGTTTCTGGCAAAGTGAAATCTACATTGTGAATGGAGATGAAGGGGAATGTTGTATTTGATTTCAGACTACCTGTCTCTTTCTAAAGGAAAGTAGGGCTTACCCCTCTGCTTCTGAGTGTTGGCCACTACACTCTGGGGGCAGCTCTCACCCAAAATGGTGGTCTGGGAGCATATGTCTTCTGAAGAAAGAGTTACACTTGGAAAGCATTGCTTAAACATGATTTCCTTACATTGTGAGAAAGTGATTTCACATTATCCTTTGAATTGACCAAAATGCTTCATGTCTGTCTGGGGGAGGGTTTGGATACTGCTGCTGTAGCGGTCGGTGTTCCTTTGTTCTCTTTCTGTGGGGTTGGGGGAGGGTGGCATGGGAGGGCTGTCGAGACCCATTCTCTTGTACAGGGCATTGTCAGTGAACCCGGAGCTGGGTAGAAGTTGCTTTTGTATTCAGTGTGAGGTGATGTTCATGGATATGTTGACACAGTGGATGTGTAGTTAGTGGTGTCTGTGAATTGAACTGTCTAATTACGTGTTATGTTTATGTGAAGAAGAATTTGTGCAGACTTCACCAAATATCCATTTAATGTTGATAAATATTGCTCTTCAGTCTTCAGCAGTGGTGTCCTTTGAAAGTGATTTTTTAAGGTCTACTTGAGTAATGTGTCGTCTACTGAGCTTTCATGTGGCTAAAAAAAAATCCTGTTGGCATTAGAAATTACATATCTCCTCTTAGTAATGAACAGCCAACTGTCACTTGAAAAATGCTTATAACCACCCTTTAGTCAAATTTGAGAGGAACTGAAAAAGCAAGCCTCTACCCTCATGTTAGAAATCATATTACATTGGGGAAAAAGCAAATCCACATCATTGTGAGAATGAATTTTTTTGGCCCACATTGAAGCAAAAAACAAGAAAAACCAGAGACCTTGTCTATCACGTACAGCCAGCAGCAGAGTGTCATGTCATTGGCCTGCAGGGTGCCTCATGGGCAGTCGCCTCTGTGTCCACCCCCACTGGCTGCACTAATTAATAGGTGTGTGAGTGCACCAGGTCTCCTGTACCTCAGTGACTCCCACCCTTTTGGAGATTGTTCTCCTCCTTCTCTCCCCAAAGACCTTTTTCCCATGTTAAAAAAAAAGAGAGAGAGAGACTTGAGAAATGAAGAAACATTGGGACCAGTAGTTAGCGTGATGTCTATGTTGCTGGACTTCCATGTAGTCGACCATGGTTTGAGTCCTGGACTCGGCAGCTTAAACTCATGCCAGGCGTGTGTGCATGCATGCCCAAGATCCCGAGAGGAGAATGGAGGAGAAGGGATTGCAGTGTGGCCATCCTCCCTGGGGGGTGATTTCTCGCAGAAACCTGGGACATTAGCTCTCTTTGCTGTTACTGGTTCTATTATATAGTTGCTTTTAAGCCTCACACATTATAGCTGCTCTTAAATATTATCTACTGACTGTTTAAAGAAAGGTATGTCCAACTCTTTGGGTGGTTTTCATAAAAGGAAAACAAGCGAAGCATGCTCTCGAATGTGAAGAATTTACAAGTGTGATTGCGAAGCAGTGAGTACTCACACTGGACACTACTCACACACTCATTCTCATAGCACTCGTCATTAGAAAGGGCCTCAACATTCACATAAGATCAGAGTGTCTTTCCTCAAACTGGCAACCAAGTTATTGCATTCCATATGAATGAGATTTGCAGAGACTTCACAATTATACACTTGAATGGAAATAGGAAAATAAGCACACCTAAAATCACACACACACACACACACACAGTCTCTCTCCCACACACATTTTCTGCTCTCCAGGCCTTGCAGAGGGATAGGAGGCACAAGCTCTCCAGCCCACATCCCTCTTGGCTCAGCTCTTCTTTGGCCTCTGCTAACTCTTCCTGTTATTTTTAATCACCCTTTGACTCTGGAGCCCAGGCTTGACTCTATATATGTTTCATTTCCACTTACTCTTCAATGTATAATAGCTCCAGCCTCTAATAGAAAGGGAAAACATGAAATGCTGCAAAAGATCTAGGATGTTTATCAACTTCCTGTGTTGCAAGTAAGCAGGTCTCACTGCTCTGCAAAGGGATGCCAGCCCCCTGACGCCAAGGAGGGGCAGCAGGAGCAGGTCATGGTGTCATGCTGCTGCTCACAGAGAAGAGAAAGGCTGAGACTCAGCCAGTGGAGAAGCCTGATGCAGAGGACAGTGAGACAGAGGAGCTGGGGTCACCAGGGTGTCCTGTACTTGTCTGAGTAGGGAGGGTTCAGAGAGGGGGCATGCTACTGAGAAGTCAGATAGCCCTCACTGCAGCCCCAGATGGTAGGCAAAAATAACACAGCATAATCAGAGAAGCACTCAATGTAGCCTGAAGAGCCCTGAGTTCCTGACCCAGTTTTGTCACCCGCTAATTACAGGTCCTCAGACATGCCTGTCTCTCTATGTTCTGTCCTCAGGCTCAGACTAAGCAACAACACTGCAGCACATCAGATTGGCCTTCTGAAAGCAAGCAGTCAGTGCAGAGGTACCATGTGTGAGAGTCCCAGCTACCATAGCGCATGTAGAATTATGTATCTGGTGAGCAACTGAAAATTTCAGATTTTATGTTCATTAAGGTGATCTACTTATTGTATTTCAACAAGATAAAATTTGAGGAGCTGCTGAAATTTGTTAGTAAACTTGGAATGGTATTGTTTCAAATGCAACTCTCTCCAACAACTGAGAGCCTTACAGCTGTAGCAGCTATCATTTTTCTCACAACAGGACTGAAACTGTATAGAGTCCCACACTCAGAGCAGTTACTCCTTCTTTGATGTAAACACTGCTACTTCCACCACCTCCACTGAAAGTGTCTTCCTCCAATAAAATGCACAAAAGACCTGTGTGAGCTGCGTTAACACTAGCCCATATCAGGCATAGGGCGACTTTGCCACTTCCCTTCTACACACTTAAGTCACACTCTTCTTTTGCTTTCATGACCCTAAATATTTATCTCTCCCGGGATTAAAACTGGATTTGTAAAAATTCTGGACCTAAGAGATGGGTTCTGGGATAGGCAAAAAGTGGGCCCCATGCTCTGTAACAGGGATGAATTGTAGTTTCTTCTGCCTCTGGCTTTACTATCTGAGAAAAGAGCCCATATTAAGATCATAAAAGTGCATTGAGACCAAGTTCATAGAAAGACTTTTTTCAATGCAAGTTTGTAAGTGAACAGTGTCTCTGGGCAAGCTCTGACCAGCCTGTGTGGGTGCTGGTCAGACATGCAGGACCTGCAGAACTTTGCCCAGAGAGAGCAAAGCATTTGTCCTGGATATTTGGAGTGGACATCCAGGGACTCTGGGGTGATGTTTGCCCTGTGGCAGTTCTCAGCACAGAGTTCTGATATGAGCAGGGACCACTCCAAATAACTACCTGGAATCCAAGGGAGCTCACATCTTAGTTGCACAAGACATTATGTATAAAAGGCAAACAATACGGGAGCCAGGCTCCCAACTGCAAAAAAGTTACTAAGACTTTCTCCACCCAAGTTAGAGCCTTTTAGCACTGTCTTAAATGATCTCTAGAATTATTAGGATCAGCAGATGATGTAATGGTTTCATTGATGGACTCCCACGTAGTCCACCCTGGTTTGAGTCCCAGACCTAGTGGCTTAAAATTCACACTGGTTATGTGTGCATATGTGTACCAAATCCTAAGAGACTGGAGGAGAAAGGATTGTGACATGGTCATCTCCCCAGGGGAGTGGTTTCTCACTTTTTCTTTCTCTATCTCTTGTCTCTTCAGCAAGTGCACATGCCCTGTAATAAACATCTGTCTTTAACAAAAAGAGGCTTATTATTGTTCTTTCTTGGAGTCGAAAATAATTAGCAAGTCTACAAATCCCCCACCAAACCTGAGAGTGCTGTTACCTTGTACCAGTGAGATCCCTAATGATGGAAAGTGGGTGTTATTTACCTCTCTGTACCCTTGACTGGCATAGTATCTGGCAAACAGAAGACATCTGATAGAAGCTTTTGAATGTTTAATAATATATTTATTAATTAACATAACACATATTTATCAAAACTGTGCGTTCATCAATGCCCCATACTGCTGCTATGATCAGACGTTATTGATCAGGGAAAGGAAAACTTATTTATAAGTATGATGGTTATCTAATAAAATATCACTGACCTGGGACCAGTGGTTAGCGTAATGGCTATGTCACAGGACTCCCATGTAGTCGACCGCGGTTCGCGTCCCAGACCCGGTGACTTAAAACTCATGTTGGGCGCATGTGTGTGCATGCCCAAGATCCCAAGAGGAGAATGGAGGAGAAGGGATTGTGGCATGACCATCCCCCCTGGAGGGTTATTTCTTGCTTTCTGTCTCTCTGTCTCTCTCTATCTGGTGAGCTCATGCACCCTACAGCAAAAACCTCTCAAAAAAAAAAATATATATATATATATCACTGACCAATGAAGAGATAATTTTTTAGAGGTTTTTGACATAAGGCACA